TCGCTGTAGTATTGTTGCTGCCGCCGGCATGTCGTGGAGACACTGTGTGTTTCGCTGTGAAAGCAAAATTACTTTGTTTGGTCTTCCAAAAGAAGACACAATTAGAAATCAGTGGTTAAGTTGTATTTACACTGAACACTGTTCTAGAAAAAGTTCAAACTAAATATTCAGATGTGTGCAATGCATTTTACGGAGGACAAGGACTGTTTCCTGGCAGAGTAGCCTAATGCCGGTGTTCCGGTGAATTCAGTTCCCCTGTTTCCCCTTCGGTGCACATGATGACCCTATACAGTCTATGATGCTGACAAATAATGCTGACTCACAGCCTGTAAGTACGTTTTCATATTTAATGGATTTGCCACTGACGATTCAAACGCGAGTTTTGAGCAGTGTAGAGTAGCGCTTGTTGTTTGTCGTTTCTCTGATCATGCAGACATGGTTTTATGTTTTCGCGGCGCGATGCAACACAAAGCGTAAAAAGACAGTATAAGTCATTATAATCAGTAATTATGTTCCCACTGGATGCAACAAATGCCTTGTTTATAATGGGTTTTGTCTCGTCTCTCCGGGACACGGCATCACAGTATGGTAAGGGGCGTAACATTTCTATCACACGCTTGAGGAATTCGCCCAATCACAACGCACTGGATAGCTGGCCAATCAGAGCACACCTCGCTTTTCAGACCGATGAGCTTTGTAAAAATCGACGCGTTTCAGAAAGGCGGGGCATAGAGGAGAAACAATAATGTACAGTATGTGGAAAATAATGTGTTTTTTTAACCTTAAACCGCATAAACATTTCATTACACCAAATACACAAAATAATGTTATTTTTTAGCAACGCGTATGACCCCTTTAACAGCAAAAAAATACACAGTTCAACTTTAATACCTTTAGAAACAAAATCAGAAGAGTGGTCTATCATTGCAGGACTTTTACTCAGTGGCCCTTAAGATTTGACTTTTTTTGGTGGACATCCAAATTCATGATCTCTAGAGCACCATGGCTGGGCTGAGGGACACTGTCTGACCTCTAAACCTTGAGGAGAGAGAGAGGGGACCAAGATCATTATCTCCCCTCTGAGTGCAGTGTGTTTTTCCCCACTGACCTGTAGAACGGCACTGACCCCAAATGCTGATGGCTGACCACCAGCTTCACCTTGTTTTGCCCTTTGGATGTACGATTACTTTTATCACACGCCCCTACAACCTTTCAGAGGCTGCAATCCTCACTGTACATTCAACAACCAACACACAACTTTGTGCTATGAGTCCTAGCTTTTACTGTTCTGCATCAGGGGTCATCTTCTGTAACCAAACGTCAATGGAATTTCAGACATGTACTGTACTGTACAGAAACCACATCTCCCATTCATAAGTTACTCAGCAACAAGGACAAATTCATTACACAAAAGCTAAAGCAGCATGCTAAAGGCTCACTGACATCAATAAATAGAAACATTTTAAATGTAGTGCTTGGGCACAAGTTGGAAATGTATTTGCCGGGCTAGTGCACTCTGTGAAAGCAGGGAGTCATGTATCATCCCAGGCTTATGGGTTCAGACCTGCTGTTGCAGGAATAACGTAAGAGGAAATCCCAGCTGACAGTGCAGGATTGTTCCTCTCATGCACATTGAAAGCAATATACATACTATCAAATCCAACCATTTAGCCTGGTTTCAACACAAGAGACAAATCAGAGTTACCCGTGACACACACTAATATATAAAAAGAACAGTTCACCCAAAATGAAAATATTTGCTCACCTTCATGTTGATCAAAACCTGTATGACTTTCTTTCTTCTGTGGTAGATTTAAAAATTATAAGTAACGTAGCTGAATGCACTTTGCAATTAATAATGCAATGAATAATGGTGCAATAATGGTGCAAAAGCACCATCAATGTATCATAAAAGTGGTCTATTTTACTTGCGCAAGCTATACAATAGCTATGTGTGAAAAACAAGTCTTTAATTATTGAAAATGTTAATGTTCCTAGATCTCCTAAAGAGAACTCTAGAGAGTTCAAAATAGAAATGACAATGTTTGAACTGGAAATAAATTATTCTTTTAACTTGGGTTGTTTCAATGAATCCAACTGATTGGTTTAAATCACTGACTCAGTAATCCAGTTTCAGTTTATTGTAGGGCACTGTTATCAAAAACTAAAATTAAAATAATTTTCACTAACTAAAATACAGCTGTAAGCAATGTAAGCAGGTTATTTTATATGAAATAATGATCTGTTAATTATTCAGTAATGTTTAATAATAATGTTCCTATGGCTCAGTGGTAGAGCATTGCGTTAGCAGTGCAAAAGGTCATGGGTTTGATTCCCAGGGAACACATACTGGTAAAAAATGTATAGCCTGAATGCACTGTAAGCCGCTTTGGATAAAAGCGTCTGCTAAATGCATAAATTAATAAGTTCATTCGTAAATATTAAAGCATATTATCTCACATTTCTAGCTATTTTCATTTATTAACTAATGATCCATTAAGCATTATATAATGTTTGTTAATGATTTATGAATGTTATTATAATGAATGTTATTATAAAGTGTTACCAGATATAAATATTAGATGAAAGACTTCAGTTAGAAATGAAGCATTGCCTTGGCAACTAACTGAAATAAGTTAATGTACTAAAAATACTAAAACTACATAAAAATTAACTGAATATATTTAAAATATATAGAGCATACTATAATAGTATATAAATAATACTAAAATAACGCTGCTGTAAGGGAAGGTTATCATTTAATAACAACAGAGACCAAAAATTATATCAGTGACTTCAAAACACTTGGAATATAGTAGCCATTTGAACTACCTTTATGATGCTTTTTGAAGATAAGAGCTGTCACCATTCACTGTAACAGCATGAAAAAGAGCAACCAACATACCGGCGAACTGTTCCTTTAAAAACTAACAATGATGTTACTTCTGTGTCCAAAAGGAAAATATATTCTAATACAAAGAATTGAGGAGAAACCATGAGTGAGATGGTCTACAGCGAGTGTTGATCCAGACAGCCGGAGGTGTTCACCTGTCAGAGAAGAGATCAAAGGGTCTGGAAGAACTGACTCCAGATCAGTGGGAAGAGCAATAGTGAATCTGTGTAAATACTGTCATGCATTATGCATGCACACAGACAGCATTGGCTCATGTTGTATGACCTGTGAGGAAACCCTGGCCTTCTCTGTGCACAGTGCATTGCTCTGTCATATCTCGCTAAACTACAATAGCTAGACCTCTGAACTCAGTCTGTGGACTACATATCTCAAAAAAGAAAATGTGACCGATGAGTGTATGATGACCTGTGATGGGTTCAATACAAAAGTATTACTGTTTCCTCAAACATTTTTAACAAGAAGAAATGTTTCTTGAGGATAAAATCATCATATTAAAATGATTTCTGAAGGATCATGTAACACTGAAGTAATTAATATCTGCTAAAAATTTAGCTCTGACATTCATTAATGACATTTCAAAATATATTAAAACAGAAAACATTATTTACATTTTTTATAATATTTCATAATATTACTGATTTTACTGTATTTGTTTTACTCAAATAAATGCAGCCCTGGTAAAAGTAAGATACTTCTTTCAAAAACATCTTTAAAAGTCTTACCAACCCCAAGTTTTTGAATGGTAGTCTACCAAAGCACAGGTACTCAATTCCAGTCCTCGCATACCACCGCTCTGCACATTTTGTATGTATCTCTTAGCACTTCAGATGTTTGTTCTTATTCGACCTGCGAAGTGGACATCACAGGATATTCCGCCATGTTTCCAGTGCAAAGGGAGCATACAGCACATGTTCCATTCAAAGGGCATTAAAGTGTGCGAGACGTGAATTTAAATTGTATTTATTTAGAGAGGTACATCATGTCACACTTCTCCAGTAAGTTTCGTCTGTGTGTGAAGACGTTGCAGGCCGTGGCATAGCACAAATAAATGTTCCGAAGTGAAGCAAACTTAAACAGATTTTTCATGCTCAGGGAGTAGGGAGCAATGAACACTGTGTAGGGACCATGTCAATCTGAACACAGTTAATGACTAAAATACCCTGACCCTAAAATTTCCTTCACTACTTATTTTGCACCTCATCAACCGCTACTGAATCTGCAAAGAGACCAGAGTGGTCGGATTACAGAATGAATGACTCTTATAAATCGGTTCTTTTTAGTGATTTAAACACTTACAGCGTACAACTAACTGTGAGACTGGATGTTCATAAGACAACATTATGCATTTGTCAGTAGCATTTTATTCAAACGCACAATAAAATACTACCACATTTTCAAAAGTTTGGGATTTTTCAGTAAGATCTTTAAATGTTTTTGAAAAAATATCTAATATTGTAATATCTAATACAATATAATAATATAAAACCCCTAATAATTATATCATATGCTAATCAAGGCTGCATTTACTTGATCAAAAATACAGTAAAAACAATTATTATTATAAATGTTGAAAACAGTTATACTGCTTAATATTTTGTGCAAACTGTGATACTTTTTCAGGATTTTTTAATGAACAGAAAGTAAAAAAATTTTTTTTTTTTTACATTTGATTGAAATTGAAATCATTTTTTACTTTTGATCAATTTAATGCATCCTTTCTGATTAAAGTTTAAATATTTGAAAAAGCAAACAGTCCTACTAACCCCAAACGTTTGAAAGGCAGTGTATACTTAATGTCACCTCTAAAAAGACTGTGAAAAGTCATTAAAAGGTCTGTATAACACACCTTTATTATAAAAATTTCATATTTCATTTGGCAGTGGAATTGCATTTTCTTCCCAAATATTTATTCCTTAAATAAACTAAAAGGTTATTGAATAGGACCATTAGGAACCAGAATCAAAATGATTAAATTCTTTATGATTCCCATTCATAATTGTCACATACAGACCTCCATGTGAAAGTGTGTCATTTCTGTGGCATTAGCAGCATTACTGTTTCAGTCATAAGAAGAAATGTCCAGTGGTTATTTGTCTGTACCCTGAAGTGTGAGTTGTTTGGAGAGTTTCGTGGTGATGTCCATGCCGTTCTTCAGCCATGAGAGTTGTGGGTCAGGGATGCCCTCAGCGTAGCATCGCAGACTGGCTGTGACCCCCGGCTCACGTGCCTGGCTCTCAGGGTACACCCGGATAACAGGGGGCACTATGAAAAAACAGAGGAATGGACAAAAGTGTAAGCAAAGTGAATGAATGAACAAATAAACAACACACTGAATGGTTAGAATTAAGTTCTTTAATGGGTTTGTAAAAAATCTGTTTGATAACGGCTGAAACATTTATAGCGTTCTCAAGTTGTCATGTTAGCTTTAGTCTGAACAGCTGACTTTGGAGGAATGTTTGTTGATGAGAGGCCCCACAGGTGGGGATTGTGGGATTGAGTAAAGATCTAGATCTAGATCATGACAAACACGTCAATCACTGCTACAGTGCAACCAGCAGGCAACACGGCTATATAAAGCTTCTTCAGAATGACAAGATCAACGTCTGCTTTTGTAAAGATATGGGTACATTTTTTCAGTGTGAAATCAGCTAGTATAATAAAGGCTTTTGTTTGGAACAGAGAACTGTACTGTCATTAGACTAGGGTATTCCCTTAATTCTAATTCAGAACTGGTTATATTTTGAAAACGTTCCATTAGCGGTTTTCGTACATGCATTCTTCCGCCGATGTAGACAGAATACTACACTAAAATACCCTGACCCTAAAATTTCCTTCACTACTTATTTAGCACCTCATCAACCGCTACAACAAATAAACAACACACTGAATGGTTAGAATGATGTTTATATTTTTCCTTTTATCTACAAGAAAGTGTTTTTTTTTGTTTTCTTTTTGCCTTTTGACTATTAAATATCTTGAATATGCCACCAAATCATCACAGAACTCAAATGAGCTTGAGAGGTCAAACTGTCATTAATTATTAAAGTCCCCCTGTAGTGAAAATCAGGTTTTAATGTTGTTTATTTGTGTATGTGGTGTTTTTAATATGCTTTTAGACAAACCATGTGCCAATCTATTAATCAACACCATTGCTGTGTATTTTCTCCTTCTACTTCAGGAAAGGTTGGAAGGGAAGGAGTTCCCATAACGGAGAAATATCTCCGTGATGTCTCAGAAGGCTGAAGGCTGACCCAGAAATATGGTTTGAAACAACCCTTGGTTTGCTACGTCACAAACCAATAACCAATCACGTCAAGGGATCGATTCCTATCACTAGCATGCAAAATATACCAATACCAGCACAAAACCAAAAATAAATCAGACAAAATAAAATCAAATAATATTCATCAAAACATTTCATGGGATTGTTAAAGTCCCCCTGTAGTGAAAATAACGTTTTTTTACGTTGTTTATTTGTCTATGTGGTGTTTTTAATATGCTTTCAGACAAACCATACGCCAATCTATTAATCAACACCTTTGCTGTGTATTTTCTCCTTAAAACTAGTTTCCCAAAGGCTGACCCAGAAATATGGTTTGAAACAACCCTTGGTTTGCTACGTCACAAACCAATAACCAATCACGTCAAGGGATCGATTCCTATCACTAGCATGCAAAATATACCAATACCAGCACAAAACCAAAAATAAATCAGAGCAAAAAACCCATGAAGCTGTGGTTTAATGTGAATTTAGAACCTAACTTGCTAACTTGCATTATAACCCGTGGCAACAGTGTAAAAGTAGCCCGGAGTCAGACGCACCTCTCCCGCAGCTGCGTCTGCACTTCACATGCATATGCTCGCGGGTGCGAATTAACAATCACAAACGACTGCATTCGAGTCTTCAAGGCATTTTAGGACACAACATCGTCAAGTAAGTAACTTTAACGAATGTCACAGTATTCACTGTAGTTGTCCGCTAGTAAAAACATAGTTTTATCAGTCATGATCCAGTGGATCAGGAGGCGCTGGCTGGTGTGACTGAGTGGAGGCGGGACTAATTTGCATATTCATAGATCCGCGTATAGTAAATGAGGCAAGGGTGTAGAGTTACATTCAAGCTATTTTAAGGCACGAGAAAATTATTTTCTGAAGAAATTTTTTTTAAATATGTCATTTTGATGATCAAAGATAAGTTTTAAGGGATACAATATTTGACTACAGGGGGACTTTAAATAAAGACATTTCTTAGGAAAATAAAAAAATGCAAGCCAAGCATGATGATGGTGTTGATAATAATAATAATAATGATAATAATAATAAACATCTTTATTTAACCAGTTCCCTTTATTTAGAACTCTATATGAGAGGAAATGGGAGAAATGAGAGGAACTGTTTGGACAGCGGTGGCGGGGGCCCCATTTTGTAGCACGCAAGGGGGTTGATTTAATGAAATGATTTGCTTCAAGGCACAAGTAGAATTTGAGTCTTAAGCTCCCTGGGACTCAGACTATTTACTGTGGAGTGGAACTCACTATTGGAACGCAGAAATCATTTAGTGTAAAAATCACAAGCTCAGGCCCTTGTGGTGTTCCAAGATCAGCTCATTGGCAATGAACAGATTATGATAAACAGTAAACCGTGTGAAAATGCCATTCATGAAGGAAAATGTAGGAAAGCATATCAGCATATCTGTGATACTGAGTATGAGAAAGAAAGAGCACTTAAAAGTGTTCTGAAGACATAAAAATATGTGTATGAGGAATAAACCGGAATTTAGGTAATTATTCAATCAATGCCGTCAGCCAAAACTCTGATGTGTACAAAAAAAAAAAAAAGTCATATGGACTTGTTTCTGCTCCATTTTTTGCAGCTTGACAGATCTGGTTTCTTTTCACTTTCATTAGCCAGGACAATCTTCAAAAAATCTTATTTTGTAAAAAAAAAAAGATGGTAAATTGTGTAAATAATAGTGTAAATAACGACAGACCTTTCATTTCTGGGTTAATTATCCTTTCATTAAAAAAAAAGAAATTTAATCAAGGGATTTTTTGGTTAAATGAGCTACGCTAAAAAACATAACCAGTGCTCTCTCTTTCTTATTCTCTACTAAGCTCAACCTAAAAATTACCACAAAAAAAAAATTATTTACGAATTGACTTTTCTTTCTGTGTGTGTAGCTAACACTGCTCTCATACATCTGCGTGCTCTTCAGGGTCTTTAAAAATAACGAAAATGACACCCTCACCCTCACCCTCACCCACTCACACACACACACACACACACACACACACAAAAAAAAAATATATATATACACATTACATACATCACAGAGAGGGTTATTAATGTTTTTCTTTTTTAGTCTGTCAAGCAAAACCCTGCCTGGAAAACAAAGCAACATCATTTCATTGTCAGTATAAATAAAAAGTTTTGAACGACAACTTTGAAAATTGAAATTGAATTGAAAGCCTAAAGGTTGACAGTCATTTCCGTGTGCCGTGCAGGAAATTAATTAAACATTGTTTGTGTACTAAAGAGAAATGTAAATGTTTCAGCTTAAATTAAACTACACAAATGCAATAATAGAAAAAAACCCATCAGCAAACTGACTAAGGACTGAGAGAATATAAGACCAAAAAATATTCCAATGCTCTTGGTCATCAGGAGGAAGCATAATTAAGTAAGTGGGAGCATTAGTACCCTTGTGACTTAAGACACAGAAAGGGAACGTGTCATCTACTAATTAATTTTCCATTTCCTTCCAGCTCTGACCACAATTAATTGCTAGGCAACAACTCCGGAGGCAAGTTCAATTGTTTTTTTATCCAATTAAAATGTGATGTTATCATTTAGGGGCATTTGATTGCTCTGTGTTTCATGTGTCAATGAGAAACGGCAAGGGAAAAGGTAGCAGTTTAAGGAATGATGAAAAACTTGTATTTTGATCACAGGGGACCAGGAAGATGCTAAAAGACCATTTGCCCTTCAGAAGAAAGTAACACCATAGCTGGAATGAAATTATGAAAAAAGCATGTGCGTCAATCCTTATAGTACTTAAAAAAACCTTTTTAAAATTATAATAATTATTATTATTATCTTGTCAAGTTGTACTTGCAGTACGGTGCATGTTTCATTTTAGATTCCATTCATTGTTTCTTTAAATCTAACGGATTATTATTATTATACAGCTCTCTGGAAAACTTGATCGTGACTGGTCAATTTTGCAAGTGAATGTGTTGTACATTACATACCATTAACCTGCAGGGTGTGTGTTTGGAAAAGCTGCTCGTAGCCGTCTGCATGGCAGGTGTAGTTGCCCATGTGCGTAGTGGTCACCTTGGTAATGTACAGTGATCCATCATCTCCGAAATCCTGTTAAAAACACACAAAACTACCATCACCGTGACCTTACAGAGTGAAAGATTACGACACACAAGTGCAAACAACAGCCCAGAGCTGGAAATGTCAGAGTGTACTCCTATAATCAACGTTAGTTTGAATGCATAAATCTGCAAATAAAAATGTGGAAGTGCAATCAAGCATTCAGATACTGGACTGCAGAGAGAAAAGAGAGCAGCTTGCGGTGAAACTCTGTGACACAGTGAAAAGAAAACACAGAAGGACTAAAAGAGAAAGAAAAGGAGAATGAGGACAGTTAAAAAACAGGGTAATCAATAGGAGCAGATTGCAGCAGACATTTGCATCAGTTCTGCTGCAGGCCGTCATTACAGCTCTACACACACCATTTATTCTCCCCACACTGTTTTTGAGAAAACCAGTCCAGACAAAAATGAAGAATGTTTTTTGTCTAAACAATGAAACTGACATTCATTGTATAGAAAAAAAATCTTTGTGTTCTGCATATGAAAAAAATTCATAAGGTTTTAAATTTTTTTGATGAACTCTCTCTTTAAAATGGGAGCAAGAGAAAATTGAGCCCCAGTTTATGCAGAAGTTAGAGAATATGTAACTGAAAATGGAAATTAGGTCTCCCAACCGATAAAAGAATTACATACAGAAAATATGCAAATAATTTGGGCTGCCAACTGATTTATTAGTTGCTAAGAAAAGCCCACAAATTAATATAATTAAAAGACATTACATTATTGTGCCAGATAAAAGAATTAAGTAGACAATAAAACTACTGTTTCTACATAGCCACATAGTTCTAACAGCACAATCAATGAAGAACGGCAGTTTGGCTGTGTTAGTATGCACGGGTAAGGATGTGAAACTCTGCTCACTACAGGCCACAACCTTGATCATGCAAATAAACAAGCCCCTTTCCTCACAACATGCTCTTAATAAGTGAAAACAGCAGTACAGAAAAAGAGCATTTTATAAAGAGGCAAAACAGAGGAGCCTCTGAATATGAAATAAAATCAGATCGCACCAGTCATTTAAAAGTCTAATGATAAGAATAGAAAACAGAAGAATCAGTGCATAGAGCAACACGCAGTATCAGAGACAGCAAAGGCTGAAGAGAAACATCATCAATGTCCAAACACGAAGCTAATGAATTCAAACGCCATTATTTTTACAAGGTCTACTGGCCTTTCCTGACATCCTGATGCCCAGGAATGCACAAGTATTCCTTCAAGGACGATTCAGATGGTTCTGATTAAATATGTTAATTTTGATTTGATTAGGCTGCAGAATCCAGATAAAGCCAGATAGATGCAGTATGACTGAAAAAACTTGGACACTCACATGTATGCACACAAAGCCATAGTGAACGGGAGTAGTTATTGGGAGAATTAAACATCAAGTAGTGATGCTACTAAATTGCACTTTTTAGTAGCATGACAATACCTCAGTTTTCTAATGAGTGCTAATGTAGAACGATGGCACATTACTGGTTTTAACGTGAGCTTCGCTACAGGGCACTCCATTCCAGACTCTTGCCACTTCACCCCGGACTCCATTTCCCATAATCCTTTGCCCGGACTCAACATCAATTGCAATCACCTGTCTCTCATCACCTCATCCGTCTCACTCTATAAGAACAGCACACACACATGCTCACATTGCTGGTGATTGAATGTTTAGCCCTTCTGTGTTTCCTAGTTTTGCCTTTCTCGTGTTTTGATCCTTGGACTGTTATCTTGTTTTTGATTGACTGCTGCCTGCCCTGATCATTGCCTGTCTTGTTGGATTACTCTTTTGTCTGTGCTAGTGATGAGAAGTTCTGCTCTTTTCAAAGATTCGGCTCTTTTGGCTCAGCTCCCTTAGAAGAGCCGGCTCTTATGGCTCCCAAATGGCTCTTTATTTAGTATCACTCTGACCCTTCTATTTTAGCCCAATTTAGCAATTGTGAATGGTTTGTGTGTTGATAAGCAATTTTTTATTCAGTGTTTTCATAAAAGCCTTATTTTTATGCATTTGGTTACACTTTATTTCGATAGTCCACTTTAGACATTCTACTAACTATAAGTAACTTTGTAACTACATGTCAACTACATGTCAACTAATTCTCATTAATTTGCAACTACATGTCTACTAACTCTCAGAGTAGACTGTTAGGGTAGGTTTAGGGTTAGTAGAATAAGTTGACAAAGAAAGTGTTAGAAGATATTAAGCAGACAGTCTACTAATACTCTACTAACTGCTAGTTGACATGTAGTTGCAAAGTTACTTACTGTTAATAAAATGTCTAAAGTGGACTATCGAATTAAAGTGTTACCATGCATTTTTTTTCGTTACAAAAAAAAATACACAGATACTATTATTTAACATTTTAATAAAACTTTAATAACAACACTTTAGTCTTTAGTGTAGGTTCGCATTCAGAAAAATATCAGATGCCTCAGCTTGGATGTGCTCATGTGATTTCTCCTCTCTGTGATTATTTGTCCTGTTTTTGAGAAGACTCTCTCTGAGGGGACCGATGTTGCAACAAATTGCAGTGTCTTCCTACCTTAACCAACGCGCTTGCGTTTAAATCCGGATCCACCACCTCTCTCTGTCGCTCTGTGTACCTGGCCTGTACCACTACACTCGTACTCTTCGGAGCTTGTGTCCCCATTCCTTCACATAATGGTATGATCCGAGTCTGTCCTCCGATGTGATTAGCCTCATGTGTATTTTATTTTTTCTTGTAACGAAAAAATGCATAAAAATAAGGCTTTTTTTTATAACACTAAATAAAAAATTGCTTACCAACACACAAACCATTCACAATTGCTAAATTGGCCTAAAATAGAAGGCTCCGGTTGAAGATTCTGCTCTCCCTGACGGGAGTCGGCTCTTCTCGTTCGTTACAAAGAATCGGCTCTTAGAGCCGGCTTGTTCGCGAATGACACATCACTAGTCTGTGCCTTGGATGTTATTGTTTGCTGGTATCTGACCCTGCCTGTACTGACTATGCTCTTTTTAATAAAGCCTGCTATTGGATCCCCACTTCGTTGTCACGACGCCTCTATCGTTACAGTGATATTACATTATGCATACTTTAAAACCAAACAAAATGACTCTCCAAAATAACTATCTCTCAAGTTCTGTTGGGAAGTGTGATTCATTTATGGCAACCAGTTAATTCAGATGATTAATTTGAACTGATAAAAAAAGAAGATACATTGGATTCCCTGTATGACATTTTACAGCTTTAAATTCAGTTAAATGTTGCCATTTCTATATTATGATTATTATCATTTATAACCTAATACAGTTGTATTTAGTTTAAATCTGTCAGTTTCAAAGTAGTTCCCCAACACTGGTTTACACTACAGTATATTATATAAGGCATATGATATACGGTAAACCACTGCAAAATATAAGGCCAGGATATGGCATCATAACCCTCACGGTAAATGAACAGAGAAATAAGATGTCTTGAAGAAGCACTGAAGAGTGCAAACCACCAGCTCCTTTATTTCCCTTGACTCAGAACCAGCTCAATAGTGCAGGCACCTTAACCTGGTCTTCAGATTTGTGAGTCACCGAGGGTTAATTGTGGTGTTAGAACTGATTAGCTTCATGGTTTTCTGACTGTAGCAGCTTAAAGGCATGCAGACCCAAAAACACAAACCGACCTGAGAGGGGATCTGCAGAACGAAAATCAATCCAAACAACAACATTTCAGTGTCAAATATCATTTTAAGTGCAAAAGTGAAAATGTCAACACGCAAATCTATCAGTTTCATATCTAACATATTTCCCCAAAGCTGGTTTACACTACAGTGTATTATATAGAGGATATGATATATGGCAAACCACTGCAAAATATAAGGCCAGGATATGGCATCGTAACCCTCATGGTAAATGAACAGAGAAATAGGATGTCTTGAAGAAGCACTGAAGAGTGCAAACCACCAGCTCCTTTATTTCCCTTGACTCAGAACCAGCTCAATAGTGCAGGCACCTTAACCTGGTCTTCAGATTTGTGAGTCACCGAGGGTTAATTGTGGTGTTAGAACTGATTAGCTTCATGGTTTTCTGACTGTAGCAGCTGAAAGGCATGCAGACCCAAAAACACAAACCGACCTGAGAGGGGATCTGCAGAACGAAAATCAATCCAAACAACAACATTTCAGTGTCAAATATCATTTTAAGTGCAAAAGTGAAAATGTCAACACGCAGACATAGTTAACTGCTGGATATCGAATTTCTGCTGTACATGAAACAATTGTCACTTTCTAAAGATCAGACATCTAGATTTTCTATTTTATCATTCATCTTTTTGATTAATGATAAAAGGGAAATATACAATCTGGAAGATTACACTGTAAAACCATAAGCTAGCTCAAACGATTCTTCCTGCTCATCCTTAATAAAGTTTTACCCACAATTTCTACTTTAGTCTTTAAATCCTCTTCTTTTGTTTTATGTATTCAGGGAGCAGTTCATAATAATGGCCATACGGTGGTCTCAGTTGCATCCCATGACGCAACGCTCAGCAAGCTCCCTCATTTTCAGCACATTAATGTGCGAAAGATGCTTCCTTACATGTCGACGGGATTCACTAAACTTAACAAAATTACCTTTAACTATACTTGGATTTATGAGGTTGTCTCTGACAGCAGACTGAAAAGTAGACACAAGAAAGAAAAAGATGCATGCAGAAATAAAGAATAAAGAATGAAATACAATTGTATTTATAATAAAAATTAAATTCACTGAGCTTAACAATATTACCCCAACTATACATTGATAAATAGTAAACTAAACTAAAAAATAAAATTAAATAAAAAAATTAAATGTGCATGCAACATGGCTTGACATGACAGACATGGTGACATTAAGTGCTCTGGGAATGAAGGATACCTTAAAGGTACATTAATGTTTTTTCTGGTTTAGGCCAGGCAACTCTGCTGTCCTAAAGGATTGTCTGTGGCTTGTAGAGCTGCTGACATTTAAACAAGCTTTCCTCTGAGTCTTTAGATTATTCATGTAGATGCTACCATCTTGTGTGAATGTGCATGTCCCGTCTGGCTGATATTGTGGTAGGGAGTGCAGGGTGAAGGTTCTAAAGATGGATCTTGGCAGCCACAGACTCCTTCCTCATTTAAAGGCCTCATAAACTTTTAATGTATTAAGGATGGCACAGAGGCCAGTGTTGACTCAACTGATGAATACCTCATTGAGCCAAGCTTTCGGCTGGTCAAATTACACACTCTTAATAGAAATAAAAGTATACTGTAACGTAATGAAAAATGAACAGCTTTACTCTATATTATATGCCATAAATAAATAATACAACAATAATGATAATAAAAATAGAAAATAAAATAAAATAAATGACAATGGATATGTTCATGATAATATATTGCTAAGATAAACAGCAGTGTTTTGGGAATACAACATTTCTGCACACTCACAAACTTATATACATAAATATATAACACTTTAATGAAATTGTATTCATTTATGTTAAGACAGTCTCAGTTTTTTCCCTGCAGCATATCCCCAGAGAGACATACCATATTCTCTATGCTGCTTTCATTTATTTAAGTACTTCTGTTTAATTCTTTTGCTAACTATTCTTTTCCTCTTAAATGACTTCATTTCATATTGGCTCAATCAAGCATCATAAAAGACTGCCAAACCCATTTAGTTTCTCTTGAGTATCTTCTCTCTCAATCCTCATTTACACTAATGTGTTTTCTACTGAGTTGTGGCCGTGTTGAGTGATGTTGCGTTACAGCGTGAACATTTAAAACATCGCTCATATCTCAATTTGGTATCATGGGGGCCAGATTCCATCAGCCTGGGTTGGTTAAGGTTACTGTAATAAATATATATTATAGCTGGAGCGTGGCACAACTGTGAAACATCTGAAATCTCAGAGACTTTGGAGACTTTCATTTGACTTATTGTCTTATTTATGGGTTCCTTTTGGAAATCCCACCTGGCCTTGATGTCTTTGTTGAATATTTTACTCCAAAAGCTAAATCGAGTGGAAAGCACATTAAGAGATGAAGTGAATTAGATTAAACATTGAATGAACCCACACCATGTCATATCATTTCAAAACAAGCTTTTGCACTTGTGTGTCAATTTACTGGATTGAAAGTGTCGCCACTTGCTTTCAACAGTTTTAAAAATGTCGCTGATTGAAACACTTTCCAGATGCCTTGTACATACACACACTCATCCGGGTAAAAGCAGAGTGTGATAGTGACAAAATAAGGTGAAAGAGGTGCGTTACTCACGTTAATGTCCTCCAGCTCCAGCATGTTGAGAGCATGGTTGTTGCGTCTCCAGATGATTGGCGGCCGCTGGTCTCCTGTGATGGCACACGTGAGCACGGCGCCCTGACCCACCATTACCGTGGTGACACTCAGTTTCTGGTCTTCAGGAAGGCTGAGCTGATAGACCTCTGAGAAACAACAGAGAGAAAGAGTGGTTTCATATCAGCTTTCTTCCCAGTAAGTTTGTTCACTAGGTGTCCACATCAGCTATTAACATCAATTTCTAGCTCACTTCTGTTCACAGAAAATTATTTGAGATTTCAACAGTGCACCAGCTACTTTGACTACATGTGATTTCTAGTGAGAACATCAAACTGTTCTTAGATGCCACATTACTGGTGTGAATATCATTTCATGTGACACCTCGCACTTCATTAAAGGAGACATATTATGCCCCTTTTTATAATATGTAATATAAGTCTCTGGTGTCCCCACAATGTGTCTGTGAAGTTTCAGCTCAAAATACCCCACAGATCATTTATTATATCATTTTGAAAATGCCTATTTTTGAGTGGAAGCAGAAACACGCTGTTTTTCGTGCCTGTCTCTTTAAATGCAAATGAGCTGCTGCTCCCCGCCCCCTTTTCCAGAACAGAGCAGCTTGTACCTGCTAAAAAACATCTGTTTTGGTTCTGATTATCATGTTTAAAGTGCTGAAATCATGCGTTTTAAACACTGATCTATTATAAATAAACCATATTAGTTTAAACTTCTGATATACGGTTTTCTGAGTGCACACATTCGAAGCACATGGACAGAAAGCGGCTGTCACAGCATGTGAGTACTAAACTAAGTTCTCGTTCACACACAAGTTTACATTAAAAACACACGAGTTACAAAAACAGTCGGTCTATAAAGGCAAACAGCTGGGAAATAAATCGCATGTTTATTTTAGATCAGTGTGGTAGCAGCAATATACAGATGGCCTAAATAAATCATTAAATCCACTGCTCTCTTGTCTGCTCTAAGGCTGGGACTCTAAATAGTGTTATGTGCTCATCTGTGCAGCCAAAGGCAGAACAGTTAGCATGTTTTGCTCAAACTTTCTCCATGGCATTAGAGCTGGTACACTGTTGTCGCTTGTGAAATCAAAATGACGCCACCATGGAGATCCCTTTGCAACGTCATTAGGGGAGCGAAATTAGATGCGCTCGTTTTTTCAGACACTTGCAGAAAAAGGCTTACCAAAACAAAGTTACTGGGTTAATCTTTTTCACCTTTCCTTGGTTGGTAGATGCACCAGGGACCTGATTATAGCACTTAACACCTGGAAAAGTCAGATTTTTATGATATGTCACCTTTAAAGTAATAAACTGTACTACAGACAGTTACAAACAAGTGTAGTGTAAATGGAGGTTTAAAAGACTGCTTCTTACTCTAGAAGCTAGGCTGGTTTAGTGATAACTTGCTAACATACAGTAGATGCATCAATATTTACAGTGTAAAAAGACACACACACACACACACACACACAGACAGCAATAAGAGGCAATAAGTAATTTAATTAAGTTTCATTTCATTTTGAAAAAGAAATAAGACAAAATATACAAACACAGTAAATATTTTGCAACATAGCAAAGGAAAAACCATATCTACAAAGTGCTGCAAACAATAATTACAACAAGTCTGAAACAGAGCGGGATGAAGCAAAAGCTTGTTTCCCCCCCCCATCCCTTATAAGTCTGATCTCTTTATTTTTTTGTGAGTTCTTTGGATAAAAATAAATAAATAAATAAATAAAATAGAACAGCATGTCAAAGGTCACTTTTTTCACAAAGGCAACATTTTATTCTTGATATTTTTCTCACACCCTTATATTTCCATTTTTGTCTTTATTTACATACTTTTTTTTTTGAGAAACAGATTTTATAGAGCTTCTGCTTTTCATACAAGAAAAGTGGAGATTATTTACACTGTCAGATGCTATAAAGAACAAAAATTGCCATAAAAGTATCATACAAAATTGATAATAATAAGAAAATGTTTCCTGAGCACCAAATCAGCATATTAGCAACACTGAAGACTAATGGATGCTGAAAATTCAGCCTTGCCATCACAATAATAAATCAGATTTTAAAATACACCGTATTCTAGCAGAACAGGGTTATTTTAAATTGTAATACTATTAAGGTTTTACTGTGTTTTTGATCAAATACTTTTAAACTTTCTTTCAAAAACGTTTAAACAAAATATTACCGACCCAAAACTTTATTTTTATATTTTTCTATGCACATATTCTGAAGACGAATGATAACTTTTTATGTTAAAATATCCAATTGACATTTTTAATTGGACACAAACAAAAATGGTGCTGTCTCATGTCCTTTTCGGACCTTACATTAGGGGTGAACTATTTTTAAACTCTATCTGGTGTTGGTTACCCAACCTCTTCATCTTTTTGCCCCATTGTCATTGGCAAACAATAATCTGACCTCTAATGAATACAATAAATAAAGCTTGAATGCAGTAAATCAGTACAAGTACAGCTTCTCATCAAAACAGGCCATGTGTATGTGTGAGTAATACTCTGACACCATCTCTGCCGTTCAGTAATATCCTGCCTAGCCATTCAATTACACTCTTTTGTGTCTTAATAGATTTGGAATTTGCTCCAGGGCAAGCCACTGCGTTTTACAATTCCCTGTAGAATTGAGAAGTGAATTGATTTTTCAGAACAAGGAACGCAAGAGAGAAGATGAGTATTTGTTTATGTGTATGCCAGTGAGGGAGTCTATTTTAGGTATAAAAACACCCGGATGCAGCCTAAACAAATATGGTGCACTGATAATACTGCAAGACTGTGAATGATGTAAACAATTATGGCAGGTTCTGTCCAGACATTTAATCCTGAGTATATGCTTGTGATTAATGACAGTACAGTAAGCAGAGGTTTTGCCCCCTCATTTACAGCACGTGTAGCAGATGAGTATACTCTCCCTCAGGGCTCGACCATCTCTCACAGCAGCAGTGTAGAATTAAAACTGAAGTGCACGACTGCAGTTTTGATTCAAGTTTTGATTTAGTTCAAACTCTTTCCCATTCCAGAGCAGTGATGCTTCTACTGCAGGAAGAGCTAAATCAAAACCGGTATGAGAAAGCCCATGGAAATCCTCTTTCAGAGTGTTAAACACAGTTCTGTTCTCAATCAGTTTGGTAACAAATGAGTGATAACTGCATTCTGTAACCAAAGTGACTACCTTAAACATTCAGGACTCATCTACTGTTAATGGAAGGTGTAGTATACACATTGCCAATCAAAGGTTTGAGGTCATTAAGATTTTTAAAGAAATTACTATTTTTATTCAGCAAGGATAGATAAAATTGATCAAAAGTGATTTATAATGTTACAAAAGATTTCTATTCCAAATATAATATCTTACCTACTTTTTAACAGAAGTGTAATATTTTAGCTAAAAGTGGCAGTACAATGAATTTTGTTAAATAACAATTCATTAAAATGTTCCTTTTTTACATCCAAATTCGAACTACAATTCTGCACCCTGTTTGTGACCTTAATTTAAATTAAATTAATATTCAGGGATTTAACTAAAATGTAAAAGGCATTATCAACTGTTGGCACACAACCCAGGACAATTTGGGAGTCACACATGTTAGTAAAAACAAAGTAAATGCCAAAAACTGACTATGCGAAGATGGCGAGATAACCAAAGAAATATCAAGTTTTTTTTTAAATGTAAGGATAAATTGCATTATATATAATAAACAATTGTAGCGTCTCGACCAATCTGACACTCTAATTTTTATTAGATTAACAAATCGTCACAGTCCCCTCACTCAATAAACTGGATGCCAGGATTTCTGCAAACACCAGGCCCCCTTGGTCCCCATGACAACTAATCATGATATCACTGGTTTTATGACCCCCCAGGAATCATCAACTAATTTCAGCAAGATCTTGGGCCTTAAGATTGCATCAGGAATCTCTTTCAGACAGCCGAGACTCGCAAGTATCAAACTTAGTCTTATTAATTGATGCATTAAGTATCAGTTACACCTTTTTACAAGGTGTGTTTGAACTAAGAATCTGACGTATCCCCAGGTGTAGATCTGCTGAATATGCAAATGGTTCCATAAATTTCATTCCTTATGCTTATACAATGTTCATTGTTTGCTCATAACCGGAGTCACTAATCATGCAGATTTACGCTACAAGCTTTGTAGAATTGTACAGTAAGAAAGTTATTTCCCTTAACCAGGAAATTAACGTTCTTAGAATTGACAAGACAGTTGACCCTGAGAGGTCAGCTAAATATCTACAGCGGATCTAAAATATGAATAGTTAATTATAACTAGTTATGGTTAATTATTCATATTTCCTGTTGTGAGCTGAGTCGCTACACAATATACAATACAAGCTTATACAGAAGCAGCAACAGAGCCTTTCCAACAAGCAGTGATGCTGTCAAAGGTCTTCAGTCATAATTACCAGCTGCTCTCCCATCTAAAGTTGTGCCCTGCTTTCTGTCCCCATCCACTAGTACATGTATGAGCCCATAAGGTCTCTGTGATCGATGCAGAATCTTTTAAAAGTGTTGCGCATTGAAGTCAGATGGAATAAAACCTTTACTGTGACCCAATCAATGTGAGAGACAGGCAGTAATAGAAGCTGAAGAAAGGCTGACTTCACACCACCTGTGAAAAACACCATCTCCATGGTACTTGTCAGTAGGAACGCTGGAGGCCCACTCATATTAGCATGCCATCACACTTCTAATTGGGCTAATTGTGGCTCATATACAAGAGGGACAGTGCAGAAACAAGTGGGATAAACACCTGGTTAAATTTGATGAATGAAAGTGCATTTCACACCATATTACATAGCTGTGAATTTCTTTTTTTCTGTCTCTCTCTATACGTTTCCACCTTCTTTTTTTCTTCACTTCCCATATGGCAATCTTTAAAAGTCTGTATTGCCTTTCACTGAAGTCAATTTTGTTTCAAGTGAGGCCCTGTTTCTTATCACACAATTCTCCACTGCCAATGATATTGAGCGGTTCCTGTATTTCTCTGTGTTTGAGTGTGTGTGTGTGTGCATTTGTCTGTTTTGCAGACAGAGCAGGTGGATTGACGTTCTCTCCGGAGGCATATCAGCCTTGACAGATGAAAGGAACGGCATTGTGGGCCGGCGTGGCGTTAAGTAATTGCCTTCTGACTTCACTGGGGGATGTAAGTTTGGAGCATGAAGCATACAGCTATGCCAATTGCACAAACCAATCATGACAAAGAACCATGTAGATGCACCAATCACAAGTAGGAACATGAGTAAACGAGGGTCAAAGGCAGAAAAATTACTTAAAGTCTGAAAGATTTGCCATTTTTAACCTTTTTTTTTTTTTTGCTTACAAAACTCCCATGAACAATATACACAAATTTTACAAACAAGTACCTTTGCTAAAATGTGCATTTCAGACATTATAAGAAAGCCCAAAGTAATTCTAAATGCATATTTCATCAGTACAAGCGTAAAAATGTTAATGTGTGTGTGTGTGTGTGTGTGTGTATGTGTATGTTAGACCAGTTTATGTGTTTATGTAGTATGTTGGACTAGTTTAAGTGTTTATGTAGTTAATAAAACCTTACTTGTATCACACTTGACGTGTTCATTGTTTGCTCATAACCGGAGTCACTAATCATGCAGATTTACGCTACAAGCTTTGTAGAATTGTACAGTAAGAAAGTTATTTCCCTTAACCAGGAAATTAACGTTCTTAGAATTGACAAGACAGTTGACCCTGAGAGGTCAGCTAAATATCTACAGCGGATCTAAAATATGAATAGTTAATTATAACTAGTTATGGTTAATTATTCATATTTCCTGTTGTGAGCTGAGTCGCTACACAATATACAATACAAGCTTATACAGAAGCAGCAACAGAGCCTTTCCAACAAGCAGTGATGCTGTCAAAAGTCTTCAGTCATAATTACCAGCTGCTCTCCCATCTAAAGTTGTGCCCTGCTTTCTGTCCCCATCCACTAGTACATGTATGAGCCCATAAGGTCTCTGTGATCGATGCAGAATCTTTTAAAAGTGTTGCGCATTGAAGTCAGATGGAATAAAACCTTTACTGTGACCCAATCAATGTGAGAGACAGGCAGTAATAGAAGCTGAAGAAAGGCTGACTTCACACCACCTGTGAAAAACACCATCTCCATGGTACTTGTCAGTAGGAACGCTGGAGGCCCACTCATATTAGCATGCCATCACACTTCTAATTGGGCTAATTGTGGCTCATATACAAGAGGGACAGTGCAGAAACAAGTGGGATAAACACCTGGTTAAATTTGATGAATGAAAGTGCATTTCACACCATATTACATAGCTGTGAATTTCTTTTTTTCTGTCTCTCTCTATACGTTTCCACCTTCTTTTTTTCTTCACTTCCCATATGGCAATCTTTAAAAGTCTGTATTGCCTTTCACTGAAGTCAATTTTGTTTCAAGTGAGGCCCTGTTTCTTATCACACAATTCTCCACTGCCAATGATATTGAGCGGTTCCTGTATTTCTCTGTGTTTGAGTGTGTGTGTGTGTGCATTTGTCTGTTTTGCAGACAGAGCAGGTGGATTGACGTTCTCTCCGGAGGCATATCAGCCTTGACAGATGAAAGGAACGGCATTGTGGGCCGGCGTGGCGTTAAGTAATTGCCTTCTGACTTCACTGGGGGATGTAAGTTTGGAGCATGAAGCATACAGCTATGCCAATTGCACAAACCAATCATGACAAAGAACCATGTAGATGCACCAATCACAAGTAGGAACATGAGTAAACGAGGGTCAAAGGCAGAAAAATTACTTAAAGTCTGAAAGATTTGCCATTTTTAACCTTTTTTTTTTTTTTGCTTACAAAACTCCCATGAACAATATACACAAATTTTATAAACAAGTAACTTTGCTAAAATTTGCATTTCAGACATTATAAGAAAGCCCAAAGTAATTCCAAACGCATATTTCATCAGTACAAGCGTAAAAGTGTTAAGGTACACATTTGTAAAGAAATATTTTGCCTGTACCAGTTCACAAAGCTATAGACTAAATTATTTTTTTTCACAAAACAGATTGACTGATGTAGCCCAATTTGTGAATGAAGCAGCCAGTTTTGTGAAAATAGTTCAGCAGAATAATTGTCTACTGTATAGTAGAAAAATATGCAAATTCAGATACAACCAATGTTAATACTTAAGTAATGATGTAGAAAAGAATCACTGCACTGAACTAGGTTGATTCAGTGCAATTCCTGAACAAATCATTTAGTCCAGATTTGTGAACTGGTTCAGCAGATTCATTAAAAAATTTACTAGGATTATTGAGTCTATAATACAACAGATTAATACAAAACAGCAATAATACACACAATGGCCTGAAGAAAATGTGTGTTCATTCAGAGAAAAGGTTTTCCTATGAATTAATTAGTAGAACAGTCCATTTCTCCTGTGCATTTGTACCCCTTGTTTCTGGAGAAAGCAGAATGAGAGCCGGCTCGCATTCCACAAGGTTGTAAATGTATCGGGTTACCATGAAACCAGGGTCTTGTTCGGCGTCCTGGGGTGTTACAAAGTATTTGTGAAAGCTAGCTAACAAAATATATATTGTGTGTTGGAGTAGTCCAGACGCTACAGACATTTTTACACTTTAAAGGATTATAAAGATCCCATTTCTAATAAGTACAAAAAAAACAATGGTCGGTTCTTATTCAGGACGTCCCATACTATATGCACACCTCATATCAAACCATTTTACTGCAGCATTTTTAAGATAAGGGACATTATCACACTTTAGAGGGGTATAAGGATCCAATTTCTAATAAGTAGAAAAAAAACAATGGTCAGTTCTTAAAAGGGACGTCCCATACTATATGCACACCTCATATCAAACCATTTTACTGCAGCATTTTGGAGATATCGTACATTATTACACTTTAAAGGGCTATAAAGAACACATTTCTAATAAGTAGAAAAAAACAATGGTCAGTTCTTAAAAGGGACGTCCCATACTATATGCACACCTCATATCAAACCATTTTACTGCAGCATTTTGGAGATATCGTACATTATTACACTTTAAAGGGCTATAAAGAACACATTTCTAATAAGTAGAAAAAAACAATGGTCAGTTCTTAAAAGGGATGTCCCATACTATATGCACACCTCATGTCAAACCATTTTACTGTAGCATTTTGGAGATATGGGACATTATTACACTTTAAAGGGCTACAAAGACAACATTTCTAATAAGTAGAAAAAATATTTTTGACTTTAGAAGGCCATAAGGACCTCATTTCTGTAAAGTAGAAGACATTAAAGGTCAGTTCTTAAATCGGACATTTCATATCATATGCACACTTATAAGAAGCCATTTTACTGAGGGAATTTAGAGAAATGCACCATTATTTCACTTCAGAGGCTCATAGAGAAGTATAAATGAGTAAGTAAAAAAATGGCTGTTTTCTAAAATCTATGAGTAAATCAATGGAAAATATTTTACTGTATGATTTTTTAGGAGCATGCAATTATTTCACATATAGAGTTATAAAACTGTACATTTATCAATTCCAATAAATAATAAAAAATAAAAATAAAAAAAACAATTCTTATAAGGGACCTCACCTAATATGTGAAACCTTTATATAAAAACATTGTAGTGTAGCAATTTGGAGTGGCATGCTTTCAGAGTCAAGAAAATTTTGAGACCTTGCCTAATTTCTCCAATTTTGAGACGAATAGAAATGTCACCTTAAGTAGAGAAAAACAATGGCCATTTCATGCAAGGCACCTCCTACTCCTATCAGCACAGCTAAAATGAAGTCTGTGTACTGTGGCAGTTTGGAGTAACATGTATCCTAATACAACAAAACACTATTTAACCACATAAGTAGAAACACTGACTATTTTTAAAAGGCACATAAAATATGAGGGATACCCAATCCTGTTTCAGGAGATCTACCTTCTTCCAGAGTTCAGTGTCAGTCCTGCTCCAGCAAACCTATCTGTAACTATCTATTGTTCCTGACTCTTAATTAGATTAGGTTTGGAGCTGAACTTTTAGTGAGATCTCCAGAAGCAAGACTGGGCATACGCTATGATCCATTCGTCCATGCATCCATCAGATGCATACTACTCTAAACTTTCACAGAGCAAAGACTCCATATTAGGTGTTCAGACAGTGTGTGAGGTGACAGTTCTGAAGTGTGTGTGACTTCATATTTGCTTATAGAGTAGGAAGTGCCTTGCATGCAAAGGCCATTATTTTTATCTATGTATTTATACTGACGTTTCTATAAGCCTCAAAACTAGAGAAACAATAGTGTCTTTTTTTTTTTTTTGGATGTGTGCAACTTCTAACTGCCACAGTACACATACTTCTGATTAGCTGTGCTGACAAAGTAGGAGGTACTTTGCAAGGAAAGTACTTTGTTCTACTTATTTTAAAAAACGTTTCTATAGGTTGCAAAAATTAGGAAATATTAAAACGTCTTTGAGTGTTTTGTTGTGTATGAATGCATGCTACTTCAAACTGCCACAGTACACATACTTCACATTAGGTGTGCTGAAAAAGAAGGAGGAACTTTGGAAGAAATAGCCTTTTCTTTCAACTTCTTTGGAATAATATTTCTATAGTTCTCAAAACTGGAGTTTCTGAGAATTTTCTTGACTTTGAACTCCAAATTGCTACGGTCAAATGTCTTTATACACTGATCAGGCATAACACTATGACCACTCTCCTAATATTGTGTTGGTCCCACTTTTGCTGCCAAAACAGCCCTGACCCATTGAGGCATGGACTCCACTAGACCCCGGAAGGTGTGCTGTGGTATCTGGTACCAAGATGTTAGCAATAGAGCCTTTAAGTCCTGTAAGCTGTCAGGTGGGGCCTCCATGGATCGGACTTGTTTGTTCAGCACATCCCACAGATTCTCGATTGGATTGAGATCTGGGAAATTTGGAGGCCAAGTCAACACCTCAAACTCGTTGTTGTGCTCAAACCATTCCTGAACCATTTTTGCTTTGTGGCAGGGCGCATTATCCTGCTGAAAGAGGCCACAGCCACCAGGTAATACCGTTTCCATGAAAGGGTGTACATGGTCTGCAGCAATGCTTAGGTAAGTGGTACATGTCAAAGTAACATCCACATGGATGGCAGGACCCAAAGTTTCCCAGCAGGACATTGCCCAAAGCATCACACTGCCTCCACTGGCTTTTTTCCATAGTGCACCCCGGTGCCATGTGTTCCCCAGGAAAGCGATGCACACACACCCGGCCGTCCACGTGATGTAAAAGAAAGCATGATTCATCAGATCAGGCCACCTTCTTCCATTGCTCCGTGGTCCAGTTCTGATGCTCATGTGCCCACTGTTGGTGCTTTCGGTGGTGGACAGGGGTCAGCATGGGCACCCTGACTGGCCTGCGGCTATGCAGCCCCATACACAACAAACTGCAATGCATTGTGTATTCTGACACCTTTCCATCAAAATCAATATTAACTTCTTGAGCAATTTGAGATACAGTAGCTCGTCTGTTGGATCGGACCACACGGGCCAGCCTTCGCTCCCCACGTGCATCAATGAGCCCGTCTCCGGTTCACCACTTTTCCTTCCTTGGACCACATTTGATAGATACTGACCACTACAGACTAGGAAGGAACACCCCACAAGAGCTGCCGTTTTGGAGATGCTCTGACCCAGTCATCTAGCAATCACAATGTGGCCCTTGTCAAATCCGTAGCTTGCCCATTTTTTCTGCTTCTAACACATCAACTTTGAGGACAAAATGTTCACTTGCTGCCTAATATATCTCACAAACGAACAGGTGCCGTGATGAAGAGATGATCAGTGTTATTCACTTCACCTGTAAAATGGTTTTATATGAGGTGTGCATATAATATGGAATGTCCCTTATAGGAACTGACCCTTGTTTTTTTTCTACTTATTAGAAATGGGGTCTTTATAGCCCTCCAAAGTGTAATAATGTGTCATATCTCAAAAATGCTGCAGTAAAATAGTTTCATATGAGGTGTGCATATAATATGGAATGTCCCTTATAGGAACTGACCATTGTTTTTTTCTACTTATTAGAAATGGGGTCTTTATAGACCTCTAAATCGAATAATTTCCCATTTTTCTTTTTCTAGGAATCCTGCTATGATTTGAAAGGTTGACAAAAATTCAGTAACACACAACCGTCAAAACACCAATAAATAACACACATATTAAAGCAGAAGTACAAAAAAGAAATCGAGAAATGTCATCTTGTTGTGTTAGATCTCACATCTGGGCGTCTAAATGAAAAGTGCTCTGAAAGCGGGTTCTCTGTGTGTTCCTACAATTACCGTAATCATTGTACTGATTTATGTAATTAATTTCAACCACGGCTGGCTTGACCGTGTTTTTCTGAACTGCGGCTGGCTTGACCGCAGTGAGCCCGTGCGCATTCCCGAAACGAGCAGAAAGTACCAAACCCACATCTTGCCCCGATTGATCTGCCCGCTGCGGGGCAACAGCTCGGTTAAAAACTAGCTCCACGTAATGCTTCTATGTCCAAAGCCTTTAACGTTTTCTTCCTCCAGGTAGTGTCCGTAATGCTGTGTTACAAAAGGTGGGCTCTTATTGTTGGGACAGCCCCGACTCACAGAAGAATAAGGGGAGGAGGAATAGGCGGAGACATGGTCGAGGAGCAGCGTACCCTAGTAAAAAAAAAGTATACTTTATTGTATTTTAAATATATTCGCTGTTTCAATAGTACATTGCAAATATACTAACCAACAATTGTACTAACTTTAATATATAAAAAGTATATTGCCATCATGCTTTTACCTATTTTCACAATGCGACATTTAACACACTTTAAAATAATTGTAATTTAGCATATTTTCTAAAAATATATATATTTTACAAAAATATACTTGAATTGAAAGTTCTGTTAATTTAATTTTTTTAAATTATATTTATTTGCACTTTACTTAGATATATTTAAGAATATGTTTAACTGTGTGCTGAAAATTATCATTATAACAATGCATTGAAAGTATACTTTCAAAGCACATTATTAAATAAGCACATAATAAAATAATAAATAAAGTGTATGCAGTGTACAAACGGCTACTCTTGTAATTGTAATGTAAGTATTTTAGTAATTTAAGGTTATACAATGTTACAGAGAGGTCCAATGTATAAACATCACTCCATGACTAATTGTAACAGCACACCACACAAACACACAAGAAAATGTGTTCTGGACAGAAAATTCAGCTACTGGATTGTGATGTCACAAGTACAGCCAAGTAAACACTGTCTATACTGCACGGCCAAAATTTGAAGTTCACTCACACTGCATTAACACATTATATCATAATCGGTGTTCAAAAAATTGTAACATTATTAATTTTAGGGAGAAATAAAGCTAAAAAAACCTTTATATATAATGTGAATTTAACATTGAAAGTTAATGTGAATAAAAATGTAAGTTAGGCTAGGCCTACTAATCATAACACTTTCATTGCACAGAAAGAGCAAATAACATTTACATTATCCAATTTTCACTGACACTCTAGAGTTCAAGCACTCTCAAAAACTCCCATTAAAATCACTGAAGCTGTTCACACTGCGAAATCAATATCTTACAGATTCGTACACACAACTGCAATTGTGAAGTGAAGAAAGCACCGGCATTTTAGCGATGACTCATCGGAACACCTCTGATTGGCCATTGCATTCATAAGCTCAACAGAATCGTGTGTTATTGATCATAATGCGCAGTGCTGATAAACGCTTCTGTGTCTGGCTCAGCGTCAGCCAGTGAACTCAAATTAGAATTTAGCAGCTTATGATATGACGCGCTGGCTGAACGTACATGTGATTGTATCAAACATAGAAAATATTAATCGGCTATTTTTGGTCTTTTGGAAGCTGCATTCAAAATCCACTTGGCTGAAAAATCTAAGGGGGCACGTGCCCTCACTTTGAATGGGCATGACGCCTTTGATTGGCATTGATACAGTAGGCCTATCTGTAAAGCTGCATAAGTAGTTTCCCAGGAATCAGTTTTTAGTCTCTTTCAATATTGTTTGGAAGTGGAAAGACACAGTTTGTCTTTAGACCTAATCATTACACATTTATGCTTGAGTGATTGAGGATGGACAGCAAATACATTATTGGTATGAGACACTTCATATATAAATGTTGAGGAAATATTATTGCTATTATTATTAATATATAATTATTATTATTATTATATCCAAAATGTTAATTATTTGGAAAATGTAACAATTTATTATCAGTCAGGTAAATATGTATTATGCCAATTATCTCCACAGCCAATTCAACGATATCAAATCAATACAAGACATCAAACTCTCAAAGACGAATCTAAGAGTAAAATGCATTCCTGAGATTAAATGTATTAGATGTATTAGAAAAATACATAGTACAGAGTATGTGGAGATACTCTGTACTACGGGCATTCTGGCTACAGAATCGCGCTAACCCTTTTGCTGCAATCCTTTAAATACAAAACTAAGAAGAGACTTACAAGCAGTTTATGCAACCAGCCCCAGGACTTAAATAGGGTGAATAGGAAAATAAATTATATATCAATATTCCTATAAAATATTATGAAAACGTTGCCAATTATTACTCCCATTATTACAATACATTTTTCATTACATGTTGCCCCAAGAACACATTAATATGCAAATGAGATACAGTTTATAGATAGATTATATGGAGTGAGTCTGCCCATTTAGGGCCATTTTTCCCACATATTGCATAAATTAAAATAGTATATCAATTAATTCCGTTATATCTTTCATAACATAAGTGAGAATAATTTTTATACAAAGTTTATTAAACAAAAAAATAAATAAAATAAATAAAATTGATAGGTGATCAAAAATAAAATAAAATAGGGGGTGCTGCGGAGGTGCGAGTATGTAAGACGTGTTTTGCGGCAGCTCCTCGGATTTGCGAATTTAATGTTATTTTTCTGAAAATCTTTTTTATTTTTGCTCTTTTATTGCTTTGGGCTTTGTGCTGAAGTTATACGAACTGCTTGTGACATTTGTGATGGCTGGCAAAGCAGCTAAACTAGACTCCGTAAAAGGCCGCGGGAAGCATAGAGTATCTCCTGAGCCCGGGGGCTAACGAGGATTTGGTGTCGAGCATAAGAGAAATGATGGACGAGATGCGGTCAGATATTATAAGCAACTTCAATTCAATTTTGTCCGACACCGTGAAAAGAGAGATAACTGCAGTTCTAGAGCCTTTTGAGAGACGGATGGGTTCATTGGGAAAGATGGTTACAGGCCTCGAACGAGCTGCCAACAGCCACAGCGACCATTTGGATGAGCTACAAACAAATGTTAACAAGCTGACTGCTCAGGTGGAAAGTCTTTCCAAGAAATGCGAAGACTTGGAGGGACGATTAAGGTGGAATAATATTCGTCTGGTAGGCTTACCCGAGGGATCCGAGGGCCCGCGTGTCTCCAAATTCATAGCGCAACTTCTTCAGGAGGTATTGGGTCTCGACAACCAGTCGGCACTTGATCGGGCTCACCGATCACTTCGAGAAAAACCTGGAGCAGGAAAGGCTCCTCGCCCATTCATTATTAAGGTCAGCAGTTTTCAAGTCCGAAAACAAATTTTGCATCGTGCATGGCAGTCATCGCCTCTTCTCTACAAAGGAAAGAAGCTCTCTATTTTCCCAGATTTCGCTCCGTCAGTGGCCAAGAAACAGGCTGCTTTTGCACCGGTGAAGAAGGAACTTCACTCGTGTCCGAACGTCAAATTTGGTCTTCGCTTCCCAGCGACCTTAAAGATTACTTTACCTGGAGGTGAAGTGCACAGGTTTGATGATCCCAATTTGTCTTTAGACTTTGTCAGGAAAAACGTTAAGAAAGGTGTGTCTCCGAACACCGTTGAATAACAGCACGCTGCTCGATCTGACTATTTTCTAATATTTCAGCAAAATGACTTCATTAGTCATGACGTACGCTTTTTTTTTTTCTTTTTTTTTTTTCTCCAAACATTTGATGACTGGGGCAGCCTGGTTTGAAACCTCAATGATGCACATTTCCATACTCTGGATGTATCTCTGTTGTTTGATTTGAGTGGATGTTTTGCACAAATTATTGAATCGCAATGTCGCAATTCCTTGTACGCCAGGTTAGCTGTGAGTTTTTGTTTTACAGCTAATAAATATGAGGCGAGATTTTTTGTTAGGAGAGGGAAATGCGCGTACATCTCAGAGACAGAGACCAACACAGGCTGAGGGGGAGATGGGTGGGGCAAATGTTCCATTCATCTTTTTCTGGGAAATCCAGAGGTGTAGCAATTCTATTACATATATCTATTCCTTTTGTACATTCAAAGGTGATTTCTGATTCCTCTGGGAGATTTGTCATCGTTACTGGGCAAATTTATGTCAACATTGCTTTAGCTAGTCTGTATGCCCCTAATTGGGATGTCAAATCTTTTTTCAAACGTTTCTTTTCAACACTTTCAGAGTTATCTTCTCATTACCTTATTCTTGGAGGTGACTTTAATTGCTGTCTTAACCCACAGCTGGATCGTTCCTCTTCTAACTCTTCTCCTCTGTCTAAATCCTCTAAAGTTATCCAGTTATTTATGAAAGAATTCTCTGTTTCGGATGCTTGGCAATTTCTTAACCCCTCTAGCCGGCAATATTCCTTTTTTCCCCACGTCCATCATACTTTCACGCGTATTGATTATTTTCTGCTGGACAATAGACTTCTACCAAGTCTGGTTGATTGTAAATATGAAGCTATTGTTCTTTCTGACCATGCCCCAGTTTGTTTGAAAATCCATTTTGATAGTTTCATTAAGTCCATGGCAGTTTAATAAAAGGTTACTTTCTAATGAGGGCTTTATCAATTTTATCTCTCAACAAATTTATTTTTTTATTAGTGTAAACAAAACACCAGAGGTCTCTGCTGCTCTTTTGTGGGAAAGTCTAAAAGCTTACATTAGGGGGGAAATAATTTCATATACCGGATACGAGAGGAAACTGAGAACTGAAAAATTATCTATGTTGGCAAAGCAACTATCTCAGCTTGATATTTTATATGCCACATCCCCATCCCCAGATATACTCAAAGAATGCCTGACCCTAAAATCAGAATATGATATCCTTATGACTCAGCGCACAACTGAAATTTTGCTCAGAACAAGGTCTACTTACTTCGAACATGGTGACAAAGCTAGTAGACTTCTAGCACACCAGTTACGCAAGGCAGCTTCAGCCAATCAAATTCCCAAGATTCCCAAGATTCAAAGATTCAAAAAGGTATTACAACTAATCCCTTGCACATTAACTCTATATTTAAAGAATTTTTTATGTCCTTATACTCATCTGAGCTTTCCACTAACTCTCCCAGCTTTGACACATTTTTTAGCAATTTAGTCATGTTCCTTCCATTGAACAATCATATTCCGAGGAAGCAGATCAGCCAATTACTATTGAAGAACTTTATGTAGCTGTTTCTTCCTTACAGTCAGGGAAATGTCCAGGGCCAGATTGGTTGAATTTTATAAAGTGTTTTGGCAAAAACTTTCCCCTTTACTATTGGATATGTTTAATTAATCATTTGAAAAAGGCTATCTCCCTCAGACCCTTAATCAGGCTTCTATTTCTCTTTTCTTGAAAAAAGAGAAGGACCCATTAGACTGTACTTCCTTCCGCCCAATAAGTTTGTTAAATGTAGATTTCAAACTGTTATCAAAATTACTGGCTTTAAGACTTGAACATGTTCTACCAACTATAATTTCATTTGACCAAACAGAACAGGTTTTATCCGAAATCGTCACTTATTCTCCAATCTCAGGCAGCTTTTTAATATAATTTACAATCCTTCTCAGGCTATTACTGAGGAAGCTTTGATTTCGATGGACGCTGAAAAAGCGTTTGATAGAGTGGAGTGGAATTATTTATTTTATACTTTGGGTAAATTTGGTTTTGGAAAGAAATGTATTTCATGGATTAAGTTACTTTATTCTTCCCCACTGGCTGCAGTAAGGACAAATAATATTAAATCTGATTATTTTCGTTTATATCGCTCCACAAGAAAAGGATGTCCCTTAAGCCCTCTTTTATTTGCAGTAGCCATTGAACCCCTCTCTATCGCCCTTCGATCTAACTGTGCCATTACTGGGATAGTTAGTAATCATGTGGCGGTAAAAGTGTCTTTATATGCAGATGATTTACTTCTTTATGTTTCTAATTGATCTAATTCTGTCCCTGCTGCCTTAGACACACTTCGATCTTTTGGTCAAATTTCTGGATATAAATTAAACTTATCCAAAAGCCTAATATTTCCTATTAATACATTAGCAAAAACTTTTCCTTTAAATACCCTACCTTTTAAAGTATCTTCATCTAGTTTTACATATCTTGGAATACATGTTACACATAAATATGTAGTTCCCCTTCAGGAACTCGAGCTGCGTCGAGATTCGCTTTGGGAACGCCCTTGCGTGACCGCGTTCTGAAGCACGTGTCAAATCAGTCCAATGGAGCTGCGAGACCTCACGAGCGGGGTGACGTAAGCACCAGAAAGTATAAAAGCGCATCCAGCAGAGCGCAAACCAGCTTCTGCTCTTCAGTAGCGCTCTGTGTATGTGTCTGTCTATTTACTGTTGTCTGTCCGCAAGCATATATAAAAAACAATCATAAAAAAGTCTATGGCAAGCGAACGGCATTACAAACCCTGTGTTCCTCCCTGCCCATGATATCTGGCGGCGGGGGATACACACGATTTGTGTGTCGTTTATTTGGGAGCGGAGCATGCACGGTCAGCTTTTGAGCAGCTGATTGTCATCACTGCGAGTTATTCTGGCCAAGAAATGCTGAAACTGAATACTGAAACTCTGACACACTTCCTTCCAGACCTTACGGGGTATCATGTGCTTGTCTGCACAGACAACACATCGGTGGTCTCCTACATCAATCGCAGGGGGGTCTGCGTTCGCGCCCCTTGTACAAGCTGGCGCGCCAGATCCTTCTGTGGGCTCAGGGGAAGCTCCTCTCTCTAAGAGCAGTTTATATCCCTGGGTATCTAAATCAGGGGGCAGATATCCGGCCTTAGCTGCTTACCACGCCCTTCTGGGTGGTCAATCATTGGGAAGACACCCACTTATCACTCGTTTCCTCCGTGGCACCCTGAGGCGGAGGCCGGTACAGCGCACTAAGGTGCCCTCATGGGACCTGGCTGTGGTGAGGGCCGGGTATGTCCCTAAGGTGCCCACTTCTTCCCCAGGGCCCATAGTACTTCAGGCATTCTGTTCTCCTCCATTCCAGGAAGTAGGCAAGAAAGGCTTAATCTGCTCTGTCCAGTTCGAGCACTGGACGCTTACGCACACAGAGCTGCCCCGTGGCGTGAGGCAGATCAGCTTTTGTTTGTTGGTTTTGGTCCGCCAAGGAAGGGATCTCCGGCGACCAAGCAGACTATGAGTAGATGGGTGGTTGAGGCTATCTCACTAGCTTACGAGTCCTCTGGCCCCCCGTCGCCTATGGGGGTCAGAGTGCACTCGACCAGGAGTATGGCGGCCTCCAAGGCTTTCAACTTGGGTGTGGCCTTGCAGGACATTTATGCTGCGGTGGGCTGGTCCTCTCCGCACACTTTTGTCCGCTTTTACAACCTAGACCTGGCATCTACCCCAGGTTCCCAAGTTCTCTCTTCGTGATGTGCTCATAAGATACACACACAGGCAGGGACTTGGTAGTATGGCGCAGTGGGTATTCTCGTTCCCAAAGCGAATTTTCCGCTTTTACAACCTAGACCTGGCATCTACCCCAGGTTCCCAAGTTCTCTCTTCGTGATGTGCTCATAAGATACACACACAGGCAGGGATTGGTAGTATGGCGCAGTGGATATTCTCGTTCCCAAAGCGAATTTTGATGCAGCTCGAGTTCCTGAAGGGGAACGTTTCTAGGTTACGTATGTAACCATGGTTCCCAGAGGGAACAAGACGCTGCGTCTCTTTGCCATACTCCCTGCATCCCTGCAGGCGCTACGTCATCGAAGCTGGTTTGCGCTCTGCTGGATGCGCTTTTATACTTTCTGGTGCTTATGTCACCCCGCTCGTGACGTCTCGCTGCTCCATTGGACTGATTTGACACGTACTTCAGAACACGGTCACGCAAGGGCGTTCCCAAAGCGAATCTCGACGCAGCGTCTCGTTCCCTCGGGGAACCATGGTTACATACGTAAACTAGAGACGATTTATTTAAAGCAAATTGGTCTCCTTTGTTGTCCCGAACTGAGGATTTTGAACGATGGTCTCTTTTGAATCTCACTTTAGCTGCTCGAATTAATGCTGTTTAAGATGTCGGTTGTCCCACGTTTTTTATATTTGTTTCAATGCATTCCTATGTTTCTCCCACAGAATTTTTTTCGAGATTTAGACTCCAAGATACTGGACTTTATATGGAATAAAAAGGTCCCCAGGCTACGTAAAGCATATCTACAGAGACCCAAGTCACTGGGAGGTCTGGCATTACCTAATCTGAGGTTCTATTATTAGGCCACCAACATTAGAGCCTTAAAATGTTGGCTTTATTATAAGAATTTAGAGTCTCTTCCCCCATGGCTTATGATGGAAGCAAATTCCCGCAAAATCCAGCTCACTGAATGCTTTAGTACATTCTCCCATTCTATCTTCTACCTCACCCTTTGCTAAGAATTTGATAGTAAAGATCACTCTTAAGATTTGGGCTCAGTTTAAGCACTTCTTCGGATTACAGTCAATTCTCAATCTATGCTCCGATAGCCAGTAATCATGTTTTTTCTCCCTCTCTGTTGGACAGTGGCTTTTTATCTTGGTCTAGTTGTGGCGTTAACTCGTTTCATGATTTATATATTGATGGCACTTTTGCTTCTTTTCAACAGCTTAGAGAGAAATTTTCACTTCCAAAGCAGCATTTTTTCAGATACTTACAAATTCGTAGTTTTGCTCGTGCCACATTTTCAAATTTTCCTCTCCTGCCTAATGATACTCCTTTGAATAGTTTTATCATTCCAATTTGTACTTTAAAAGGCCTAATCTCACAAATCTACTTTCAAATCCATAGCCTATGTCCTGAGTCTTTAGACTCCATTAGGGCTCTTTGCCAAGATGATGTGGAAGAGGAGATATCAGATGAACTATGGGAAAAGATCCTCAACAGGGTACATGGATCATCTATATGTGCCAGATATTCACTTATTCAGTGTAAAGTTGTGCATCGTGTCTATTTTACAAAAGCTAGATTGGCTAGGATTTATGAAGGTGATTCTCCAGCATGTGACAAATGTTGTCAAATTCCGGCAAACCTGATTCATATGTTTTGGCTTTGCCCTTCATTGTATAATTATTGGACAAACATTTTTGAAACTTTATCATTTATTACAGGGGAAAGAATTGAACCGAATGCTCTCACTGCTTTGTTTGGAATTTGCCCCTCTGTACCATCCTTGTCAATTCTTAAACAGGATGCAATTTCCTTTGTTACTCTGTTGGCTAGGAGACTAATATTGCTGAACTGGAAATCTAAAACGCCCCCTTCACATTCTCGTTGGTTATCAGATGTTCTTTATTTTATTTTATTAAATTAGAAAAGATACGATTGTCCCTCAAGAAATGCTCAAATAGCTTTGGAAAGCTGTGGGGCCCCCACTTTCAGTATATTAAAGAGAATTGTTCTTTACTCAGTCCTGATAGTTGATGGGAAAGGAGTAAGGCTTGATTTCTGAAGGTTGTTTTACAAATCTCATAAACAGCTTGAATAACGGATTAATATTTATTTATATATGTATATTTAATTATTATTATTATTAGTTCCTATTATTCTGCATTGTTTGTTCATGGTTTGTGTTTTTTTTGTTTTGTTTTTTGTTGTAGTTGCTTTGTACCTTATTTTATTAGTATTGACACACATTGTGTTTATCATTGCTTTCTGTTCATGTGTACACTATTTTCTGTGTAGAAAATAAATTAAAAAATAAATTAAAAAAATAATAAAATAAAATTGTCCAGGGGCCTGTTCTTCGTACATCGCTAACTTAGTTAGCTGGATTTGATTGTTGGTGATTTGGCATAGTCTTGGATTGTTCAGTTCTTCGAAGCTCATCCCCGAGCTGCTGTCATAGCAACAGGTGCGTAAACTTAACCCTGCTCGGGAGCAGCTTGTTTCATGTAAACAGGATTAGATTGCATCTTTTTAAGCAGAATTGATACTTAAAATCTGTCCGCTACCACCCCGCTATACTTTATTACAAGAGTACCCTACTAATCCAGGGACATTTAAAAATTAATTTAAAGATAATATAATAATGTTGTGTAGTCTTTAATACTATAGACACAGCCAGTTTTACTCACTGAAAGATTTATTCATCATAAAATTATTACTTCATAATTGTATTCGAGTCTTACACACATGCTATACAGATAAGTGACGTGACATGTGGCCATGTGGCCAAGTATGGTTACCCATACTAGGAATTAGTGCTCTGCATTTAACCCATCCTAAGTGCACACACACAGCAGTGAACACACACACACAGCAGTGAACACACACCCGGAGCAGTGGGATACTGTAGAGTCGTGCATTAATTTGAATAATGACAGCTATTATGGGAGGCTATCATGGCTTGATGGAGTGCAGGAGATGCAGATAACATGATCTTTCCTGACACACCATTACAGTTACAGATAATTGAAAAATTATCATTAGAAATTTCTAAATACATTTACATTTATTAGTTTAAAATGTTTTTAAAGAATTTGTTTGAACTATTTAAAATTTATTTAAGAGTTTGTCCAAATAATCGTCCTCTATGATGTCATGTTCTGTGATGACTTTAGTACCATGGACAGTGAATCATTAGCAGGCTGTCGTAATCGAAACATGTCATTTGTAGATGTTCCCTCAGATAGACGATGACGTCACAACACTCCATAGAGGTAAGTGTGTTTATCAGCTTCTTTAAAACGTCGAGTTCTGCAGAAAAATGTGTTGAAGCTTATGCTCGTAACAGTCGGTAATGATAATTAACCGAAATTAGCCTTTTTAAATGCAGACAAAAGTTAACAAAGTTATTGAACGTGGAAGTCTGAATGTGCGAATATAAAATGTCTCCGGTTACTATTGTAACCTCGGTTCCCTGAGAGTGGGAATGAGACATCACGGCGACATTTCTCTGTTATGGGAACTCCTTCCCTTCCAACCGTTCCTGAAGTCCTATTGGCTCACGCCAGTCCAAAAGACTGGCCAATTGTGGCGAAGTATGCCAATTGCATGCAAATACTGACAAGATCGAGAGGCAGTATAAAATGCGGTGCACGCGACAATTACATCAGAATCTGATTCTGAACGCCGCTTAGCAGGTCGTGCAGCGAACACGGTGGCCTCCGTGATGTCTTGTTCCCGCTCTCAGGGAACCGAAGTTACGATAGTAACTGGAGACGTTCCCTCTCGAGCTTTCACGAGACATCACAGAGACATCTCTCCATTATGGGAATGATATTCAATCCCGCCGTGAGTGAGGCTAGGAGCAGCCTGTACAAGTCACATACTCAGCGAAGGCTTGCGGCTGATAGGTGGCCATAAGCCAATGAGCGTCTGAAGCCCAGGTATATGAAATTTGCAAATCTGGTCAGTAATAACGTATGCTGCGCTGAGAACAGGGCAGTAGCAACAACAGTAATGCAAGGGGCTGCACAGACATAACTGTGTTTAGCAGCATAACACATAACATGTTAATGGTAGCATGAAGGGAATCAGACATGAATAACAGGAAGCTGCACTGAGTACAGGGCAGACAACATCAACAATAGCATAGAGGGCTGCGCAGAGTAACTACTGTGCGAGGCAGCAAACACATGAATAGAGGTAGCATAAACGTGAATCAGTCACTCACCGACAGCACTTGGGAGGCTCAGGACTGAACGTCCAGCTTGTAAAACCTGGCGAAGGAATTCTGAGAAGACCAGCCGGCTGCAAAGCGTATATCTTGAATAGACATACCTCTCGACCACGCCCAGGAGAAGGCGATAGCTCTTGTTGAGTGGGCCCTAATGTGCAAAGGGCATTCCAAACCTGGGCTCGTATAAGCAGCCGTGATAGCGTCCACATTCCAGTGGGCAAGTCTCTGTTTTGACACTGCAAAATGTTTGTGTGTTGGATGTTCCTTCCCTTCGCACAACCACCGTAGCACACGAAAAGCTGGTCAGATTGCCGAAAGCTGGCTGAACGGTCAATGTAAATCCTCAAAGCCCTGACGGGGCACACCGAAGTCTGAGCGTCCGCATCACGCGAGGTCGATGACTCAGAAGACAGGGTGGACAACGAAACAGTCTGCGCTCTGAAGGGGGTAGACAGTGATTTAGGCACGTAGCCTGGTCTCGGCTGGAGAGTGACGCTGCAGTCACCAGGTCTGAAGCGAATACAGTCGCTGTCCACAGAAAACACATGTAAATCCTCTATGCGCTTAGCCGAAGTGAGGGCAAGAAGAAGTGCACTTGTGACACTGTCACACAGGACACATGTTTTAACCTGCTCAATATATTATAATGATTTTATGTATGTTTGAGTTTTAATAGGTTTTCATGTTGTCTTAGCCATTTTATTCCTCTTAACTATTTTAATGTGTGTATGTCTTTAAGTGAGTCCGGGTGTTCCTGTCATGTGACTCATCACATGACAAAAAATAGGAACTGAACAGTACAAAGGAGGCAGCATGACAAACAGACAAGGTCATTGACCAAACACTTACACGCTGGATTGTGGAGTTGTTTATGGATTTACAATTCCAGTATTTTCACACATCTTGGATTATCACTTTCTTTGTACTGTATATACACCGGTGGAACTTACATTGGAACTTATTTTACATTGGAACTTACAGCACGCTTACAGACTCTGTGCTTTTAACAGCCTAGGATTTCTAGTTTTATTGTGTTGTTTTAAGTTCCTTGTGGATTTTGTAAATACACTATTTATTCATTCTACTTTTGTTGTTGTCTCATCTTTTTAAAACTTATTTTACCTCACACAGTTTAATCTGACCCCATTTTAAATCTATGTAATTCGGCCGACAAGGCCGATCGTTACACACTTTTGAGAGATATTTCCTTCATATCAACAGATGCTAAAGGGTCGAATGGTGGCTGTGAAAGAGCTCTTAACACCACCTCTAGGTCCCAGGGTGAGACTGAAGGCCGATGCGGGGGATGCAATCTCCTCGCTCCTGTAACCCTGTGGTGCTTTTGACCGAAAAATTTTAAAAATCACAGCTTCATCGGAATGGTTCGAAACTTGGTGACTTTTATGGCATTTGGAATGTGAACACAAACAAAAAATTAAGGGCATGATTCGAGCAGACTAAGTGGTCGTAAAAAAAATAGTCACACTTGTGGTCTTCGGTCAAAAATGACAGACCATAGGAAATTAATGGAAAATCGACAAAAACACAATTCTGAGAATTTTTCTGTGTACAATCTACAAATCTGACCCAATGCAGAAATAAAATACACAGCAATGACAGGGTGAAACTCTAAAACATAAAGAGTGCAAAACCAACATATCCACTCACACGCACATGCGCACATACACAGACCTATGAACTGGTGTGACTGTAACACAGCAAATATGTAAAATAAAAGCAATATTCAACTACAATAAAGTATAAAAGTGGACCGCAAGGAAGGGGTTACACTCTAAAACATCAAGAGTGCAAAACAGAAAAAAAAAAATCTAAACCTTTACAAAAAGTTGTCTTTGAGAATGTCTAAATATATATCCAAACCCACAACTTAATAAAAATAAGAATTTAGGTCTAAAAACAGTTAGAGAATTTATTGGCCTTTTATATAGAGCTATATAGGAATCTATGGGCTAAACCATGGAATAGCAGATGTTTTTCTTATTTTACTCCGACCAGATGGCACTAATCTGACTTAAAAAATGGGATTTTAAAGGCATCGACTCTATTTTAACATGAAATACTGCATTAATTGAAAAGTAATATAAAAATATATTTTTAATTTTTTAAAAATTATTTTCAATGTGCAGAAATTCATCATAATAATTGTATAAATATTACTTAGTGCCATGAAATTATCTCAAAATACATAATACAAAATATTATTGAACAAAAATATATTACATTGATTATACTGGGGAGAAAAAAGTTAAATTTCAGGTGTCCGGTCACTTTTGACCGTGAAGATCACAAGTGTGACTCCCAAAGGAGGAGCACCAGAGAAAACTTGTGTTGATGGTAAAGATCCACTATCCAGTCTGTACTGTAGAAAACGCAGAATATCCGACATGGAGCAAGCAGCCGGGCCGATATAAACATCACGGCACCATTTCACAAACACTCCCCATTTTAGAGCATACAAACGCCTCTTGGAGGGCGCCCGCGCCTCCGAGAGCGTGTCGAGCACACGAGAATGCAGAGCATTCAGCTCCTCTGATATCCCCGAAGTAGCCACACATGAAGGCTCCATAACTCAGCCCGTTCCGTGTGGTTCAGGTGCCACACCGAGCCGCTCGCTTGAGACAACAGATCCTTCCTGATGGGGATAGGCCAGGGCGATGCCACCAGCAGCTCTGTCAGGTCCGGGAACCAGGGCTGGTTCGGCTGCTTCGGGGCGATGAGTATCACCGAAGCCCCCTCCTCCCTGATCTT